AGTAAACACAAGAAGATACTTAACATCTGTAGTTACTGGGGTAATAGAAAATAAAACTACAATGAATTACCACCAGACACCTATTAGAATGGTTAAAAAACAAAAAAATAGATAATACCAAGCACTGGTTATTATGTGGGGCAAATGGAACTCCTATACACTGCTGGTCGGAATGCAAAATGGTACAGCCACTTTGAAAGCATTTTGGTAGTTTCTTAAAAGTTAAATGATTCATGTTTATCACATGACCCAGCAATCCCACACCAAGTTAAATAAAAATTTACCTTAACAAAAAACCCTGTCTATGAATGTTTCTAGCAACTTTTATAATCACCAAAAACTAATTTCAACATCCCTCAATTGAGAAATGAATAAACTGTGAGATACCCATACAATGGAATACTGCTCTGCAATACAAAGGAATAAACATATACACAACACAGATGAATCTATATGAATTATGCTAAGTGAAAGAAGCCAGATTCCAACAGCTATATAATGTACGATTTCATGTATATGACATTCTGCAGAAGAAAAGTGTCTAGGGACAGAAAACAGATCAGTGGTTGCCAACTACTGGGGGTTGACTACAAAGGAGCAGGAGGGAATTCTGGGGGGTAATGGAACTGCTCTATATTTTGACTGGTAGTGGTAGTCACACAACTATATGTATTTGTCAAAACTGCAAAATTACACACAAAAAATGGGTGAATATTACTATATGCAAATTTTTCCCTAATGAAAAAATTTATATATTATTAAGCTAAGTAAAACTAACAAAACCCAAAATTAACATGCAAATAAGCTTAATTTAAAAAAAAATTTTTAAAAGCTTAAAATAAGAAAAAGTGGCTAAGCCCATTTTTGGAAATTAAAGTCCAAGCTACAATTGTGATCCACGAGGCAGGTTAATCTCATGCTTTTGCTTGGTTTTACTCCTCTGGTAGTAAAATAATAGTACATTGGACTCTTTAAAAATATACTTAAAAAAAGGTCTATAAAATGTTTTGTTCATTCCAAATGCCTGCTAGGTCAGTAACTCAATGAAATCCATCATCCTACATTCCCAAGTGCTCTCTTTATTCTTTCAACATTTTTTTTTTTTTTTACATTTTAAGACTATCCACCACGTCAGAACATTATTCAACTCTACATTTCATCAACTTATTGCAAGTTCTCTTTATATTATACTTCTCAACAAGACCTTAGGGAAAAATTGCTGTGCTAAGGGTAAGACTATCACCTTAGTCCAGGTCCTTATTTTTGCTCCTAGCTACACTTGATTTCAGGCTATCTCTACTTTCACTGATCCTATCTTTGGCTGACTGATCTGCTCAAAAGGTTTAATTCTTTTTTTTTTCCTGCCACACTGGGTCTGCCCCCACCAATCAGTGGAACTATTTTTCCAGTGCAAATCCATTAAAGCAAATTTTAATGAGACAATGGAAAATATCAGTTTACACTTGAATATTACTCTCACAGAAATGTGAAGAAATGGGTTTAGAATACATTGTTAAAAAGCTAATCACTATCTGTATCATTTAGGAATGTTAAACATTGTTCAATTTCTACAAAACAAAATCTAATTTAAAGAATTTGAGACAGGGCTTAGAATTTACTTGGATTAACAATGACATTATGCCAAAAATAGTCCTGGCCTTACAAAACTCTTAATTTTTTGCCTTTCACTATATAATTTTCTGATGCTTTCATCAGCCAAAAGGGTTGGGACTTTATATAAATCCAGTGGAGTGTTTCCTAAATTATGTTTCATAGGGAGGTTAATAGGTGTGGTAGGAGGAGGTCGTTAATGAGGAGTATAGGCAAGAATTTCATGGTAAGTTTGGAAACGTTTCTCTTTCTTTGACACTTTTTCTCTGAGTATACTTATTAACATCTCACCCAACACCGGGCAGAACACAGTTCGAGAAATCTTTAAACAGAAGACTAATTCAATTAAAATTAAGTTGAAAAAATTTCATTGCATCAAAGACAATGCCTGCACCATAGGCAGCAGTTACCAAATAGCAACTAACTGGGGAATGCAGACACAACTCTGGTAGATGCATGTTAGTCTTAAGTAGCTAAATTAATACCTTGTTACTCAATGGGTATACTTTTGACCAGGAGTTTCTGCATCACCTTTCACTGTTCAAGCTGTCTCCCAAAATCAATTTCAATCTTCAGAAATTTAACAACATCCCCACACGATTTCAATGCATGTTAAAGGTTGAGAAGCACTGGCCTACAACAGGAGTTCCCAAACTTTCTGTAAAGAGCCAGAGAGTTAATATTTTAGGTTTTGTGAGCCATGAGGTCTCTGTCATAACTACTCAACTAGGCTGTTTATTATAATGATAAAAGGTCTATATATTAAGAAGGTATAGTAATTAAAGATGTATATATATACTTGGAACACCAAAATACACTGAACAAGAAAATGACAGAATCAAAAGGACAAAACCACAATTTAGCAACTTATAATGAAGGTTTTTAATATCCCTCTCTCTGTCCTAATGGAAACAGAAAATCTGCAAGGATATAGATTTAGGAAGAAAACCCACCAGCTTGACCTAGCTGGTATTTATAGAACACTCTATCCAATAACAGCAGAATGCTCATTCTTTTCAAGTGAACATGGTGTCTTCTCTAGAATAAAACACATGGTAGGCCACAAAACAAGTCTTAATAAAAGACTAAAATCATATAAAGTATGTTCTCCAATCACATGTAATTAGAAATCAATAACAAGAAAATGTGGGAAATCCCTCAAATATCACATTATCAGACAACCAATTTTTAAGTAACCCAAAGGTCAAAGAAGAAATTTCAAGAGTAATTAGAAAATATCTTGTGAGACAGCATAATACTAGTATAAGGTCAGACATACAGATCAATGGAACAAAAAAGAGAGCTCAGCAATAAAGCCTTATATTTATATTTCACTGATTTTGGACAAAGGTATCAAGGCAATTCAACAGGGGAAAGGAAAGACTTTTCCTGGAACAATCAGAAAGCCGTATTTTGCAACAGTCAGATCCTTACATCATACTACAGACAAAAATTTTTTCAAAATAGATCATATACCTAAAGGTAAAAGTTGCAATAAAACCACTAGAAGAAAGCTACTATAGAAGAAAATCTTTGTGACCCAGGGTTAAGCAAAGACTTCTTAGATATGATACTAAAAACACAGTACATAAAGAGTAAGTTGATAAACTGGTCTTCATGAAATTAAAAACCTGTACTCTTCAAAATGTGTCTTTAAGAAAAAAAGATAATTCACAGACTGGGAGAAAACATTTCCAAATCATCTAATAAAGGGCTTGTGTCCAGAATGTAAAAAGAACCCTTAAAATTCAATCATAAGAAGAGAAGTAACTCAATTTAACAACGGGCAAAAGATGTGAATAGATATTTCAAAAACAAAGATAAGTGAATGACTAATACATTAAATGATGCTCAACATCATTAGTCATTAGAGACATACAAATTAAAACCACAATGAGATAGCACTCCACACCTAAATTGAGAGGCATTTTCAAGTAGATCAACTTTAAAAAAAAAAAAAGTTGAATGGAAGGACAGAATCTGGAAATTGATACTCTTAAAATTATTTTTGCTGACCTATTCTTTGGAAAGCTTTTGTGTACCTCCAGTGGTGCACATACCATATTTGAAGACCAGTGGTATAAGAAAACAAGAAAGATACGGTGGCTTAGACAGTAACACTTAACACGATTTGATGATCTGGAAAGGTGTCAAGCATGAATGAGGCTGATGGGGGGGTGAGGTAGTTAGGGCTGGAAAAGGAGCTAACAGGAAAAAGGTGAGGGAAAGAAGAATTCTTTTAAGAGTTTCTGACAACATCCTCCATCATCATCATCATCATCATCATCATCATCATCATCATCATGATTCTGATAGTCCCCAGCATTAGCAAGTAAAGTGAGGAATATAGCCTCAGGCAACACCCACAATGTTTTTATCATTTACTTGACTCCCCCACAGGCTCCCTGCCCTAGCCCACACTGACAAAAAGACACCATGCCCAGGCAAGTCTCTACATTTCCCTTCAAACACTCACATCTAGAAACCACTCTGTAGCAAGTAACTGGACCAAAGCAGAAAACTGTACCAAGCACAGGTGACCTTCCCTTTTCCCCTACATCTTAATCTGATGTACTCAAATTACATTTCTCACACTGTAATAATTGTTTACATGCTTGCCTCTTCCCTAGACCATTAGAGACTGTGACTTAAGACAGACACTTCTTACTCATCTTGCAATCTTCAGCAGCCAGTACAGTATCTGACCTATCCTGCAGTCAATAAATGTTCAAAGAATGGAAGACTAGGCTTGTTAATTCTATAAATATAAACTCCAACCATACAATTTAAATATCTTTGTCTACAAAAGAACTTTTTTAACATATCATGGGCAGCAAATGTATTTTAAAACCCAATTTTTCTTTCTTAGGAGAGCCACTAATCTATAATTAAGAACCTGATATGTTATATATCTAATCACCTTTTACATACATGGGAAGTGGCTATGTAAAAGAAATGTGTTGTAGTGAAAAGACCAGTGAACTAGACAGAAGCTAGGTAACCCGGTTAGGGCTAGTACTAGACACTCTGTGTCTTCTCAGGCATTCAGTTTCCTCCTTTGTGAAATGAAAGGATTAATGTGCAATCTCTAAGCACCCTTCAAATGTTAATATTTAAGAATCTTTAATCTGAGTGTTTAATGAACAATTAGAAGGCAGAAGGCATGTCAGTCGCTGAGTATTCCTAACATTTTGGTACCTCTTTGCTAGAGATCAAACTAAATGATACTGTCAATATTCATTCAGTACTTCAACTCCATGAACAAAAATAAAAAGAATCTCCGTTTGAAATCAGGAACGTGACTTTTCGATTCTAATAATTTAACTCTTAAAGCACACATTAAATCACACATCAGAGGCATTGACATAATAAACAAACTAGACGCTTACCTGCCAGGAAACTGCTCCTAAAATCGCTGTTGCAAGAAGACTAAAAAAAACTAACTGCTCTGAAATTAAGCAAAAGTGACGCATCCCTTTGGATGCCATGATTCTATCAAGGCTATTGTTATCTACCCTGTGGGTGAAATATACTTTATGGCAGTCATTTAATTTGGTATGGAATCCCCAAAGAGTTAAGAGAAAAATAATATGGCAAATCATCCAGAAAATTCCAAAAATGGAAAAGCCTGGTATTACAAAATACCAGAGGTGAGTATCTCTAAGTTTAAATGCTGAAAGAATAAAAAAGGTAAGTTCAATCATTCCTGTGAAAACGACTGAAAGTCTTCTGCATATTCTTCCACGGTACAAAAAGGGTTTCCACCTTTCAGTCACTGAAAGTCCACTAAAATAAATGTCAAGGAAAGGGTCAGTTATCAGGCAGATGAAAAAACATGCAAAAGCAACTGGATTTTTGGGAGTTTCCAATGAGGAGAAAAACAGCAAGACTGCAAAAATAACTAAGTTTGGAATAGCTAAGAAAGACTTCATTCTCAGGTCAATAATCAGCATGGCCAAAGCTACAACAAGTAAAATGACACTCAGAGACTTCTCCACCAACATGGTTGTGCTGGCAATAGCAAATCCAACAAGTTCCAGAAATTCAACTGTGGTTAGTAAAGTGGGTCGATGATGGACATACCCAGAAATTCTCTCCACCAAAGCGCATAAGATCCTTAGTACTATGGAAGTTAGAAGCAAATATTTGGTTGACTCTTCTTTCACATCATTTTTAAAGGATGAATTGTCAAGAAAACATAGGAGGCCAAGCAAGAATCCAAACCAAAGATTGGAGAGACTTAAACTTGCTGCTTCCATTGAAAAATAATAATAGAGTATGCTGGCAATTCCAAGAACGAAAAGACCAAGAATAAAAATTACCAAAATTAAGGAATTTGCTGTTTTTTCCCATCTTACATAAAGACCTAAGCATATAGCAACCAATAAATTGATTCTGGCTAAATAGCCAAGATAACGCACTGAAGAATGCATGTTCACTTCTCTGTTGACTTCTTCCAGTCTTGTCATTGCTAAATACAGACAATGACTAAAGCAGTAACGCAGTGATTTACACATGTAATCTGGCAATTTGGGCTTTCTCCCCGTGGTACAAAAATTTACTGCTTGTTTTTCATCCAGCAAATCCAACGTATCCGTAACTCCTATTTCAGCATTTCCTCTGGTGGAATTTTTGTTTATAGTAATCTAAAAAGAAGAAAAAAAAGGTCAGTGTTAATTTTATATAATTTATATCTCTCTTCTTTGTAGAAAATAATAAAGAAATGAGAAATAAAGCTTCTTCTGAAACTCAGTTTTAAATTTGACTTACATGTATCTTAATGGTAATTGTTTCTGGTTTAAAAACTCAGTTTATCCATATAAAAATGACAGCGTTTTCTGCTTAACATATGCTAAGAAGTATGACTAAATCACCACCAGTGAAACTGTTTTTCCAAAGACTAAGCCATTCTTACTTCAGTGGTTAGTTTTTCAACTACAATGTGTAAATGTGAGATATTCAACCTAACTTAGATTGTAGAAGATGGATCTGGCACAATCAAAAACTACTCAGCAGCTAAACGGAATGATGGGCTTCATCATTACATCTAATTTGAAAAGCACTAGTATCCAGTAATAGCAACCGTTCCTACCTAAAATCCTCTCCATCTTTTTATAAGGCAGCTCTAACAGGCTATAAAATCTTAGTCTTTACAGTTTAACTAATAAACTTACCAAAAGTAAAGTTTAACTGCATTAAAGTTAGTCCCTGAAGTTAACCCATAATTTTCCCTATACTTTGATCTCTACTAAATTACTTGGATTATCAAACCTCCTTTCTAGATCTAAATACTATCCTGTAGCAAACCAATTCCTGAACTTTCTAGTCAAAATTCTGAAGTTAGAATGCTAACCAATATTTACTATAAGTTAAACTTTATACTTTTTTTTTTTTTAAGATTTTATTTGACAGAGAGAGACACAGCAAGAGAGGGAACACAAGCAGGGGGAGTGGGAGAGGGAGAAGAGGCTTCCTGCCGAGCAGGGAGCCCGATGCGAGGCTCAATCCCAGGACCTTAGGATCATGACCCGAGCCGAAGGCAGACACTTAACGAATGACCCACCGAGGTGCCCCCAAACTTTATACTTTTACTCTTAAAAAGTTAACAACTATTCGTTAAGGAACCCAGATAATTATTTTAGTCTTTGAGTGCCCCCACAAACTGCACTTAAAACATGACAATGGCCAAAAAATGCTTTAACTATCTACCAGATAATTCTTCAAAGTTTATGTTATACTGTTTCAGAACTGATCCATTCAACAGCTCATAGTCACAATAAATATCCATGGAGAACTCAACCAGACAAAAATTCAAAAAAATGTTTGTGATGGGCTTATTTATACTTTAACAGTAGGACACATGAGAGGCACCTGGGTGGCTCAGTCGGTTAAGCGTCTGTCTGCCTTCAGCTCAGGTCATGATCCCAGAGGCCTGGGATCGAGTCCTGCACTGGGCTTCTTGCTCAGCGGGGAGCCTGCTTCTCCCTCTGCCGGCCACTCCCCCTGCTTGTGCACACTCTCTGACAAATAAAATCTTTAAAGAAAAAAAATAGTAGGACACTAAAAGACTCGACAGAAACATGATAACCTGGAATTAACCCTTAATTACTCATTTGGCTGGAGAAGATTTTACTGACAATCTTACAGTCTCTGGGACGTTCTAAGTACTATTACTAATTCTACTTCTCACTAATTCTGCTTCAGCAAGTGTATTTTTTTACAGATAAACCTATTTAAGTATTCTGATTTTCCTCAATCACATTTTCATCCAATCATTTCTTAAGATACCATACACCGCTTAAAAAAATGTCTTCCTTTGGTATATTCTGGCTTTATCTTTTTGCTTATATGTAAGACATTGATAAAATCTAGAGTGCTTTGCATTTTTTTTTTTTTTTTTAACATCACTCCTGTAATATAATCGTTCAACAAACAGGTTGGAATACAGATCCTCAAAGGGTTGATGGTACGTCTGGGCTTAGACAACTGAACACTGCTGAAGAAAAAAACAATCACACACCAGGCTCAATGGTTGCCACTCAACTCAGACATCCTTCTGTTTCTTTGGTCAACACTCTCCCATTCTGTGAGTATCCAACCTCTCTTCCTTAGCCTCAAATCTCTGACACCCACTTCCCACGCACTGCACTCTCACTAGATGACTGCCTCCAACAGAGTTGTCAGAAGAGAGCTTACTTGAGTTTCCAACACCACAAACCCACCTCTACTGACATCTCCTGATACAGGGGAAGAAGGGTGTCCCTTCCCTATCTAAGGCTAAATCTTTCAGACATACTGGTTATCTTTTCCCCTCTACGTCTTCCAGAACTTCACAGTCTCTTGGCTCTTCAAACTCCCACTCTTCCCTTATCCATTAGCACTTAAACATTTGCAAAGCTCTTTTTAAAATCAATACCAAAAAAACCCAGAAACAAAAACAATCTTTACACATCCCCATCTTCTCTTCCAAGTTCAATCTTCTGTCCTCTTTTGACAGCTATTCTATGATTGCTTCACTTCTCACACCACTTAACAATGGTTCCCACCATACAACAAACTGCTCTGCCAAATTCTAAAGTGACCTATAAGCTCCTAAAACCAACGCGTACTTTTCATTTATTATCCTGCACTTTCTTCAAACAACCTTTGACATTGTTGACTCCTCTCAGTTTCTGAAACCTGCCCTTCCTTTAGCTTTCAAAGACCAACCTCTAGATTTTCTTCTAACTCAGTGACCTCTCCTCCGTCTTCTTGCAGACTCTTGATTCTCAATCCATCCTTTGGCTGTTCAATCCCAGGCCTAGGCTTTTCTCTCACTGTACACTTTCTATGAGCAATCTCAACTATTTCCATGTCTTCAATTATTCTCTCTCCCTAATTATATACATATATTAATCTGTCTGAAAGAAATAAAAGCACCAGCTCTCTTAGAAGTAAAACCCTAGAAAAAAGGTAAACAAGGGCGCCTGGGTGGCTCACTCGGTTAAGTGGCTGCTTCAGCTCAGGTCATGATTTCGGGGTTCTGCAATCAAGCCTCACGTCCAGCTCCTTGATCAGCGGGGAGTCTGCTTCTCCCTCTCCCTCTACTCCCACTGTGCTCACTCTTTCTCTCAAATAAATACTTAAAAAAAAGAAAAAAGGTAAACATGTAAATTATACCCATAACATCCAGATCATAGAATATATGCAACCACACTGTCAAAATCAACATGCAGAATATTTTTAAGTGGCTAATTTACAAGTCTTTCCACATTCTGAACTTCTTCAAAGAACAAACTGGCTGAATCAGAGAGTAAGACAACAAAGCAACAGAATCTTTTCAACTGGTCTGCCATTACTTGATTCAATGAGAAATTACTTGTGAGACAGATAAAAATGGAGCACGGAAGAGTCAGTCTGCATAGGGGAGCTCCCAGAGTCTGTTTTATAAAACCCCACATCCTACTTTAACCCTCCTCTCCTTCACCACCTATATTTAGTAATAGCAAAATGCTGATTGTCATTTGCTTAAGGTCTGCATTCCCACTAGATCGCAAGGTCTCTGAAAGTTTGTCTTTAATACTGTGTACCCGTGTCTTGTTAGAAAATTTGGCACCAAGTAGATATTCAACAAATACCTGTGAAAGAAATAGAGACTAATATAGAAATAATTATATTTAATAACAATGCCAGTTATTGGACACTTAGTAATACATGAAGAGACTAAAGTTGTAATAATATCCCACAGCACGTAAGTAATAAAACTAAGGGAGAGTCCATGAATGTTTGGTTTGTTTCTCTTTTCGCCTTACTTCAGCCTTCACTTAATTCATCCAAATTCCTCTAAACCAGTGAGTTCTCGTCCGTATCCTACCTCTAGGGAATGGCTCAACAGAGCCACTACATACACACTCTTATCACTTGCGTCAGCTTTGGACTCAGAAACAATTTCCGTCCCATCTAGGAGAAGCGTCGAAAGCTGAAAGAACTATACTGAGCACCTAAGGTCGGGGAATTCCCGTGCTTTGATTCTATGAATTCACGTTAACCCTCTGGGCCCACTACAGACGAGGAGAATGGCAACTTTAAATATTCAATCTCTTAGTACTGGGGCAACAACAGCAATTCTTCCAGAAAGAGCCTGCCTGTTCTCTACCACCTCTCTACTTTGGGAGATGGCAACGACAACTGGGGGCCCAAGTGCCTGGGGAACCGCGGGGCATATGCAGCACCCCACCTTCCAGCCTCCAACCCCCACCGTCAACTCCTCTCGGGGCAGGTATCGCAATCTCGGCGCCGGGTGACCGACAGGCTGTGCGGAGCTAGGGGCTCGAACTACGCAGAGACCTGGGCGGTGTCTATGCTCAGGTCCTGCCACCCCGCTGTTCACCCCGACCTCCCTACCTGACTCGGCCGCCGCCACCAACGCTCTCTCAACCCCCGGAGTCGGCTCTGGGGCCAACACAGTAAAGGGAGGGCCCTTGGGGCTGAGCTTGCGACTCGGAGCTGGGAGGTGGCACGCCGGGGGGCAGGGGGGTCCGAGGGCCCGAGGCCACAGGCACTAACACAGGCCAGTCTCCTTGGAAACTTTCTCCGTTACCGGCCCGACCGCGGCCGCCATGTTCCTGCCGCTCGGTCCGCGACGGTACGGAACGCCGCCGGGGTCAAACCGCGCGGCGCGCTTCCTCCCTGAGGCCCGGCCCCCTCCCCGCTCAAACACCCCGTGCCGCCGCCGCCCCAGGTGTGCCCGGCGCTGCGACAACACACAGAGCACCCCCCCACACATAGGGTGCCGGCTGAGTCCGGCCTCCGCCGCCTTCTGGGACCTAGGATCGGCGGCGAACAGGGAGTGGGAAGAGCACGAAGGATCACGTAGACCGTGCCCATGAAGACTTCAGGCCGCCGCCTCCGGCTGGACGGAAAGTGGGACGGGACGGGCGGAATGGTCCACACGTGGGCTGTAAATACCGCAGGAGGCGTTGCGGTTCTTTAGTATCCGTAGCATAATGCATGGCTTTGTGTCCGCTGACCAGCAGAAGCCCAAGTTTCTTAGGCTCGCCTTCAAAGCGCTTCTAGCCTCCTTTTCTAATTAAGACTCCTTTTAAATCACTGCCTGGATCTTTACTCCACCGACAGACAGCACTGAGCTCCCCAGGCCTGGCCTGTGCCATTCCCCTTCTTCCACCTATCCCTTAACACGTTCAGCAGCCTTTTTTATTTTTTATTTTTAATTAACATATAAAGTATTATTTGCTTCAGAGGTACAGGTCTGTGATTCATCAGTCACCCCGGCCTGATTCTCATTTGTACTCTGAACTCATTGAATAAACGTAGGGGGAGGCAGCACTTCACAACAGCTGAGTCCGGTGATTTTGGAGTTTGGAACCTGGTTGCTCCTCTTTTCTATATGCAACCTGTGTTTCTCTGAAAAACAAACAAAACAAAAACTAAACCTTTCTTGCAAAGATATTGTGTAAACTTTTTTTTCTGGCAGAAGGTAGGCCTTCAAAAAGTATGAATTCCTCCTCTCTAAGAAGCCTTCCCTTTCTGCCTGCTTTCTATCCCTCCCATCATTTTCTGCTGCTTGTAGCTCTTAGGTCAGTTAATCTCTCTGAACCCCAGTTTCCTCAGGTGTTAATTGGACCCTAATAATACCCACCTCACAGGGTTGTTGTAGGGATTAAATGAGATCATGTATGTAAACAAATACCTTACAAACTTTAGATGTTTTATCCCCTTTAGGGTAAAGCTCAAAATCCTTCAACAGGTATGGACAAGTTCTGTAGACTGGCCCTTTTTTACCTCCAGCGTGATCTCCCACAACACTCCCCCAATTGTCTGCACCCCAGTCTGCTTTCATTTCCTCAAATGCCAGGACATGTCCAGTTTTGCTCACCATTAAATCAGCCTGGTGTAGTACCATAGTTGGTACTTAAATATTTGTTAAAGTAATAGTACACAATAGGCCTTCAGCAATCACTAGTTCTCTCCCATTTTCTGTTAGTATCATCTATGCTATTCCTGTCTTTGCTGATAGAATGTGAATTTCTTCATTTTCATTTAATAGATGTTGGGGATTTGGGGTGTGCAGCAGATCAATAGTGATAAAGCACTCTCAGACTCAGATTCCTCCTACGTAAATAAAAAGTGTGAGATTCTGTCCAGACTCCTGTCTTAACTCTAAAAGCAGTCACTAGCCAACTCCCAGATCCGTAACTCTGGCTCTTTGGGGGAACACGTGTCACATTTCCAACTACCTACTAGATGTTTCTACTTGAATTGCCATCACTTCTAATTCAACTTACCTTTAATGGACATTTATTTATACATATATATTTTGTTGGTTGGTTGGTTTTGTATTCCCACCCTCTGAACCGTCATTCTGCGTTTAGAGAATTCCCCACCTCAGTCTAGTGGCTGAATCTGAAATGCCACATACTTGTTCTACCAATCATGTTCACCAGCTGGGAGCTGTTGACTCAAAAAAACGAACACAAGCAAACACAGAAAGCCATGCTTCCTGGGTAACTACAGGAGTATAGCAAGGTAGGCTCCTGGGGCAATAGTGAGAGTGGTTCTAGTGGTCTGCATCCAGCATCCAGGATTCGTGGTGTCTGTGACTCAGTATGCTTGTGCAGGCCACGGCAACCCTAGAGCCCTCTCCCATCAGTTCAGTGTGTGTTGTTACTGGTTGTATTCTGACCACGCAAGTCCAAGCTCCGTTTCCAGCTGTCCTGTGAGCTACCCACTAGCCTCCAATAAATTTTTCTGCTTAAATCAGCCACAGCTGTTTCCTGTTCCTTAGCATGAAGGTCCCTCATTAAAATGGTGCTTTTTCATCTTCCTCAAACATGATCCACAGCCTTGTGACCTTGAAACTATCTTTGATGCTTGCTATCTTGTCAGTATACTTTAGAATACTGCAGTGAGATGTGTATGTGTTTGAGAGTTAACTTTCATCTGCACACTCCAGGGTGGATAATTAGCATTTGAAAGACTAATCAGGAATCTTCACTATAAAGTTGGATGCACAAGTGTTTCCACTATCACTGTTAATCTGCACTAGAGGTATGTTAAAAGATGATAATTTTTCGTTGTGGAAATAACAGGTGTTCAAGATACATGGCTTGCTAGGATATTGTACAGGCACTTCCGTTCTTGCCTAAATGGAGTTTGTGGAAGAAGCTTCAGATTATGGCATACTGACAGCCTTCAGAATGGCTCCCTGAATCTAGAATGCTGTTTAGTGCTTTGGCACCAAATATTTTTTTGTGTAGTGTTTTTTTGTGCCTGCTTGTTGATAAATATTTATCTGTGTAGTTACAAGTCTGAGACTTGCTTTCACTGGAGGACACTACCTAATAGTAAAGGGAGAGGGTAGCTCTCATCGATCTTTAGTTGTTTAAGGCTGTCAGTATTTACTAAAAGAACCGGACAATTGTGAAGGCCAAGTGTTGTTCGTCTTTATTCACTCCATTTCTTGCATTTATCATATCTTTTCACATCCCATTCCTACTACCCAGGTTGAGGTCCTAACCCATGAATTACTTCAATAACTTCTGTGGTTTGTCATTTTGATGTCAGCCTCACCCCCGTCTAATCCATCACACTGATATTCTCAGAACACTATTCTGTGTCACTTCTTAAATTAAAACCAATGAATTCTACAGGCTACAGAATAAAGTGCAAACCCCTTAGCCTGGCATCTGAGGCCCTCCAGAGATGAAGCAAACCCCCTCTGCCCAGTAACATTTATCCCGAAGTTAGAAGTATTAGGGTCAGTTCCTGACATCTGACACATCCTCAGCCAAACACCTGGATATAAAACAGCCACTTGGGAACCACCCCAGTGACAGGAGATTTCAAGCTGCATTACTGATGGCAGTGTAATGATCTTAATAGCAGGAACATCCATTCTTCAACACTCGCTTCCAATGCAGGCAAGGTCTGTGTGCTCCGGGCCAAATAGTTCACCCAGAGGAATTATTTCAGACTAGGAACACCTGTGGAAATACCATTTTTTTAATCAAGGGAAGGAAGGAAGGTAGCACCTGTGGCAGGAGAAATGGAGGATCCTATTTCAGTCCTCTGTAGCACAGAGGAGTCCTACATTATTTCTCCCATCTTCTCTCTTGTTTTTCCCCCTACTTCTTTCAATTCTTCAATCCTGTTCCAGAGCTGAATGGACTCAGGATCTCCACAGATGATCTGCTGGGTCTACTCCCTTGTTATTTCTGTGTAATACTTTGAGATTACAAAGTGCTTTCACCTATGTCCTATCATTCACTCTACAAAACCCGATGATGTAAATATTATCATCATCATTTTACAGGTAAAATAACCAAGGTCCAGAGAAACTACACTGTACTGAGCAGTTGCTTAAACCTCAGTCTTTTGGCTTCAAATCCTAGGTCCTCAAGTGCAGCTTTCTAAATATCATTCCCGTCTGTGGGGGAACACAGGTATTTCTGTCTCATTGCTGTAAACAGTAAGCAGGAGAGGGTTACAGTATCCTCTCCTGGCGTACTCCTTATAATCATCTTGAAGATTTTTAACCTACACCCATACCCAGGCCCAGCACAGATCAATTAAATCAGTCTCCTCTGGAGTGAGTCCCAGGTAGATGGTGTGTTTTATTAAAGACTCTCCCTGCGCCCGTCCTAGCCTCCGCCGCCCACCCCCACGCCCCGCCCCAGTGATTCTAATGTAAAACAAGTGTTGAGAACAACTGGGTTATTATCTCCATCAGTGCAGTGGTTCTACAAGTGTGGTCCCTAAACCAGAGGTATCAGCATCATCTGGGAACTAGTTAGAAATGCAAATTAGATTTCAAGAATCTATGCAATGAAAATGCATTATTTTTAAAATGTTAAATATTAGCAAAAATAAAAGAAAATTAAAGACAAAGCTTTCTGCTGCCAAAAATGTAGTTAATTGACAGCGGGACCACAGAATGGTTTCTTCCTGGTAAGAAAATCAGCAGTATTTTCCCTCAGCCCCAGCCCCAGATACACTGAATCAGAAACTCTAAGGGTAGAGCCCAGATGTTAGGATTAGGTGCAGGTGTGTATATCAAAAAGTTCAACAACCGAGGCTTAATACCAGTTTATTTCTCACATAAGAAGTCTAGAGGTAGGTATTCTAGAGCAGATGTGGTGCTTCTTAGTGTTAAAGATCCTGCTTCCTTCTCTCTTTTTCCCCTTCCACTCAGAACATGGCTTCCTCCTCATAGTGCAAGATGTCTGCTTAATTTCCAGCCATCACTTCTGAATTCCAATCAAGAGAAAGGAGGAAGTACAAGAGGCAAATGTACTCCCCTCATCCCTACTTTAATGACACTTCTTGGAAGTTACATGAAACACTTCAGCATATATCACTTTGACCGGTATTTAGTATTTATAGAATCTGGGGAAAGTGGTAAGTTTGGGGGTAGCTATATGCCCATCTAAAAATCAAAGTTCTTGGAGTGCCTGCGTGGCTCAGTTAAGCATCTGACTTCAGCTCAGGTCATGATCCCAGGGTGCTGGGATGGCTCTCCGCTAAGTGCTCAGTGGGGAGTCTGCTTGTCCTGCTCCCTTCACCCCTCCCCCCACTCATGCTCTCTCTCTCTCTCTCTCTCTCTCTCTCTCTCAAT